GTATGATACTTTGCAATGCAGGTATTGAAATTGTGTAGAATCGCAACGATCTTTACTAAGACATAAGCGTAATTCCTTGAATATGGTATGCCACTAAAATCATAGTTAAACTGCATTTCTTTATAATTCTTCTAACGAATAGTTAATTTTTTTAAAAATATCAACAGAAAACATCGAATTTAAATCAGGTGATAGATGGCATCAAAACGTATCGAACGAACTAATATATTTGTCATCCCAAATTATATAGTTCATGAGATATACTAAGTGACATATAAATCCGAACACCCAGTTTAAATGGTTTTATTTTAATAAAATTGTGTATAAGTACTTAATGAAGCATAATAAGTAAATGATAAAAATTTCAAAATGATTGCACTGCTTTAAAGCCCTTTGATCTTTAATAATGTGTGGATGCACCCTGATGTGCTACGCATTCTCCAATGCGCCTAGGCATGCTTCTGATTAGGTGGTCAATGTCCTCCTGTGGTATCTCATTTCAGGCAACCACCAACTCCTCTCGAAGTGCTTCTAGAGTCTGAGAAGGACGTTGCAAATTGAGCAATCTCCTACCCATCATATCCCACACGTGCTCAATTGGGGATAAGTCGGGAGATCTTGGTGGCCATGGTGACAATGTGACATCATTATGTTGAAAGAAGTCTATTGTGACTCTTGCAACATGTGGTCGGGCATTATCTTGTTGGAAAGTTGGATCTGCCAGGTTGTCAAGATAGGGTAAAAGATGGGGTTCTAGAACTTCGTGGATATAACGCTGCGCGTTCATGTTACCTCTGATGAAGATTGAAGGTGACCTGGAACCATAAGCTATAGCACCCCAAACCATAACTCCAACAGTGTGATGAACATGTCTTTCAACAAAAAACAGTGGATTCCTCCTTTCACCACGTCGCCTTCTAACCCTGGCACGACCATCGTGCATGCCTAAACAAAATCGAGACTCGTCATTAAAGACAATACTGTTCCATTCCTGATCCCAGAGTGGCCGTTGTCTGCACCACTCAAGGCGATTACGTCGGTGTTCTCGAGTTAAAGGGAGGACCCAGTGTGGCCGGTATGAAAACAAGCCAAAACTTCTCATTCGTCGGTCAACACTTCGCATGCCAATAGGTCTTCTGTGTTCTGCAAACCATTCATTTGCAAGGGACCTGGTAGTGGAGAAACGGTCCTTAAGGCCAATAATCTTAGGCGGCGATATTCACGGTCTGTTGTTCTACGGCGGCGTCCAGTGCTCCTTGCTCTTTGCGTACGGCCTTCTCGAAGCCATGCCTGACAACACCTAACCACAGTGTCTACACTTCTTTGCACTCTAACTGCAATTGAACGAAAAGAAAGTCCAGCTTCCCGAAGTCCCACTATACGGCCCCTATCAAACTCACTAAGTTGACGAAATCGTACAGGTCTCCGTACTCTAGGCATCGTAACCGATCGTAAAGGATGTCAAGAATCAAAATCCGCCAACGCTGATTCTTTACTGCGGCTGAAATATTCATTTTTAGAGCGTTAGTGAATTAAAAAAAAGCAGTATTAAAACCGGAATGTCCAACTGATAAGGCTGAAAATTTTTTCACTTGTTATTTACAGTGAGATAAATACATTCACCAACTTTTATTAAAATAAAACCATTTAAACTGGGTGTTCGGATTTATATGTCACTTCGTATATTAGCAATTTTGTGAAATTGAGAAAAAAACGGGATAATGAACTTTCAATCGCAATTACAACTAAACCATCAGGTTTAGGGCTGTGATTTATTTTCTCAGATGAGCTTAACATCACTTTTTAACAGAGCTTATTAGAAATCAAAGCAAAGAATCTTAAATTCATTTTTTTGTGAAAAATCTCCTCCATCCCTCAACTTTGGAGGGCGGTTAAAAAATTGAGGTTATATTTCATTATTCATTTTATTTTAAAAACTATTTCAATCCATGTAGGAGAAATTTCAGTTTGCAACGATCACATTCGTTTTTGTGGTGCGATAAACGTAAGAAATGCAATAGAATCCTTACCATCCTTACAATAAAATTAATAATGAAATAGAACCTCAATTTTTTTACCACCCTCCAAAGTTGAGGGATGGAAAAGATTTTTCACAAAAAAAAATGAATTTAAGATTTTTTGCTTTGATTTCTAATAAGCTCTGTTAAAAAGTGTCGAACCATTTAGCTCATCTGAGAAAATAAATCACAGCCCTAAACCTAATGGTTTAGTTGTAATTGCGATTGAAAGTTCATTATCCCGTTTTTTTTTTCGAAATTTCACAAAATTGCAAATATCTCCTGAACTATAAAATTTCGGACGACACATAAAGGGGTTCATTCGATAGGTGTTGAGGCCCTCTATCACCCAACTTTCGTTGATTCACTACTAGCTTTACACCCTGTATATTCAAGTCACTCAAACAGTGAGAATCGTCAAAATGTCAGTTACAATATTATTAGATGCATGTTTCGATGTGTAGAGTATAAAATACAGTGAAATTCTGGAAAATGGTATAAAAGAGCTTAAGCAAACTAAAGGCTGGTACTTTGAGGTGATGTCTATAGTTTAAAAAGATGATTAGCTGTGCCTATTTTTGTACTTGTAGGTTAGGATATCTTGGAAGATAAAGCCAGTTGAGAGATTGTCAACAAATAGCCATGTCATAGTAAGCAAAAATCAGGTCGAGATTTACCTTGCGGCCAATCACCTGCTCGTACAATGAAATACGAAGAATTCAAATATAAAATATACCTGTATTAACATATATAATTTTACATTCATATAACGTCAATTTACACTTTTTTTACAAACAACATTTATCATAAGTAAAAGAAAATGTATACATCTTAAATAAATATCATTGCACTTTCTCTTGATAGTCAATTTTCCTGTCGCTGCTATTGTATTTTATCAGAACTAAAAATGTTTGATTTTCATGAATCCCGTAGAATCACTTGGAACCATAAAAAGATACGACTTAATTAGGACGCACTTGCACGTTTAGGTAAACAAGGAAATGACACGAACTTTCGCTTTTCCGAGTATTTCCGAATGAAACCGAATTTTCACAAAATCTTGTATTATTTTTTCCTAACTTTATTTGAGACTTGAAATCAAATTAAAAGGTACATTAACCTTTAACATTATTTTTTCTGGTGAATGGTGAATAGTTTTTAATCCTGATTGTAAACATGGATAATGTGTCATACAATGACATTGTCCAACCTCACTTATTGAAGAAAAAAAAAAGAATTTCCAATGTGGAATAGCCCCTATTTATGATTCTTATATTATATTGCACATATCACGACATTAGTTGATACCAAACCTCAAATTTCGGAAAATATATCCTTCCTGGATAAGGAAAAACGTAATATTGTTCATATTATTCAAGGGCAGTATTAAATATATTGGAGACATTATTTTGTTACTGATAGAAACATTCTGCAGTAACTAAGAGCCTCGACGATGACGCATCTCCCTTAGCACATTTTATATCCGCCATATCCAAACCGATGCTCGCGTCTTGCATTCAATTACTACTCACCTAAAGCTGAGGTGTCATATAAGGCGCCTCCATCGTGCTAAGTAACGCTTATTATGTCGACAAGTGGGCCAATAATTATCTTAATGTTCTTTAAACAACCTTCTCAAAAACGGAAGCGTATGATAAACTATCATTTTCAACACCAGCGACGAATATATAATCATAGAAATAAAGTTGAATGTTGAGACAAGAGGCGAAACGTCATATTGGAAATCAAATTATACCACCTTATATAGGAGCAAAAATGACAAAGTTATATACTTTTTATTTTGAAATCACATCTCGAATAAGGCCAAGGAAAAATGATTATGGGAAAAATTGGATTCTTACATCTGTCTCTGGAAACACTCTGATCGTGAAACTTTTAAAGTACCTATTCTTAATACCCTAAACGTGCAACTTTGCACCCATTTGATCGAAATCGTATCTCTTACCGTTTTTGAAATCAAAATGGTGAGGGTAGAATTTGAAGCACCTGATATATTGATTCTACATGTGTTTCCTTACCTATATCAAACCGTCAGAAGATATGGACAGCTGAAATATGGAATATCAAGAGCATAGCACACGTCATATGAATACACTTTTATTCCTTTGTGAATACTTCCTTGTTACCCGAAGATATGACGTGAGGTGAGGTGTAAGGTTCGATATTATTATGCTGGATGTTGAGCTGGAAAAGTATATGGCAGACAAATATACAGACATAATAGGTTGTGTTACAAAATATCATCGTATTTCATCATTTTAGTTATTGGTTTGTATATGTATAAATATTGTATAGTAGTATCAAGCAGTATAATATATAAAATTCTGTCTATTGGATTTCCAATACACAAGGACTCCTTTTCGTGGGTTATTTGAGTTTATTTACGTTAATGAACTTGAAATTTGACTTGCTTAAGATAGCACACAGAACAACATGGCAAACCCGATCACTTTATAATGACACATTGAAGAAAATTTTGTATTGCGATGCGCGATTATCTACTAAAACTTTCGATTTAGTTTTGGCTGACGCTTTTTGGTTGATTGAAATGTTTATAAGTAAAATTTAAATGAAAAAAAATAAATACAATTAAAAAAGAAATAAACAAATAAATGTAATAATTAACTACCATGTTTTTTTTTCGGTGTGCCTTATTTTACTGGTGAACGAATCTGAAGAAATTAGTAACATATTCATCGTATCGTATCGTTGGTGCTCTCTTGATAACACTTATAAGAACAGTTCAAGTCATTTATTAATTTGGTTCCTGTGAGCTTACAAATATTTGCAGCTGGAAATGTGTTATAGTGATGCAATGGCATCGAAAACGGGGGGCGAGTGCGGGGAATACTAGATTACGTTCTTCCTCAAAAATCGCTCGACAATTCCATCTTTGTTTCAGAATTTCATAACTACAAACCAGAAATACTAATTTGAACTTTAGATATGCTATGTAACACTGGCAGAGCAAGCCTTTTCACATCATACAAATGAAAGTCGAATACTACTTTTTAAATTAATTATTAATTAACGATTCTGAATTTAGTCGTATTCAATGGATAAGTTCTTATAAATTGGTTTCCGAAGCAATTCTTTTCTATCCGTAGGGATGGATCTTTAAGAATATTAGCGTTTACGCTTAAGTTTTATAGCAAAGGTATATTGAAAGTCTTTTTAAGTCATCATACATCTCAAAACCCTTTAATTGAATTTGAGTTAATTCCTCTCATTCCGTCTATGGAAATGTATTAGATAAAACCAAGAAAAGGCGGCTAAGCATTTTGAATTCTAGATACAGATTTTGTAAGGTAAGAAATAACCTCTTTTTTATAACAATCAAGAAATATTCTTAAATACACCTTACACTCTCACCTCATCACCATTTCACGCCGTACACAGATCGGTACACTTCTGGGTTAGCAGCGTGCTGCACATAGTCTTTCAAAGGTCCCGAAATAAACCGATATATCGATTTTAAATACAAACACTTCACATGTATCCACTCATACATAAATGACGAAGGGTATCATTTCCAGTAGAAGCCTCCAAGCGCCCTTGTTGATGCGCTTCCACGCACTGCTCGTGCAAATCGTTCATCAGAGCTGGTGTTGCCTGGAAATATTGCATGTACAGGGTGTGGTCCAAGGTCATCCAGTACGCCTGTTTCACGTTAGATGTTACTTTTTAATATCAGTGATTTAGAACTGTGACGTGATCACGACGTAACGATGGAATCATAATACTATCTCCTCAAGAAGACGCGCATGCGGTCTGTCTACTATCCCTTTCGCATGTGTGACGTCACTCCGTGACAAAATTACCCAGAGACGGGTGACTAATTTTCAGTCTTGTATAGAGCTTTATCACGTAATTTGTAGTGTTCATAAGCTTATTATCTGACGTGTGAAATATAATTAATAGTGAATTAGGCATTCAAGTATGGTGTGCTATGAGGTGGTGAATTGTTCGAGCAACAACAACAAAAAAAGACAGAGACGTTTCAAACTGGCATTTTTTGGTCTCATAAAGGACAAGTTCTGAAATATCATCAGCAACATAAACAGCGACTACTGTTCAAAAGAAAACAGGTTAGAATTACCTTAAAGTGGATGGAGGTTGAAAAGTAATGCATATTCGCTTCATTTGATGGATTTATCAAGGGCGCACACTTCTTACAGTATACGAATGAAAAAAGGCTAAATATTGTGAAAATTATAAAATATACTCAATTAGATGGTTCACCAATACAAATGTTTTTTGTTGATACCTACTCATTAAAAAGATTATGAGATAAATAATAAAGACATCATATATTGTGTATTGTTCTCTATTCTTTTTCTGTATAAGAAGTTGATAAAACAAATTTATATGTTACTGATGCACACAGGGATGACTAGAAATCAATTTGTTTCGATAAAAAGAAACAAGCCTCTTTATTTGGAACCCCAAGAAGATTTTAGTTTGATAAGCTACAGGCGCATTTTCATTTATTAAATCTTGTACAATTCAATAACTTAAAAATCGTCTATTGCTTATTTTTCAAAAGTGACAACTTTATAAAGATGATTGATTCTATAATGATATACTGCATCAAATTTTATTGTCAGAAACATCAGAATATAAACAGAAACTTCTATATAATTCTAAAATTATTATGTATAATAGATCACAAAAGATGTTAAGCAAATATTCCAGATATTGTAAAAAAGCCCTCTAATAAACTGCATTTCCTACTGACAAGCCGAACAGTTGTCACCAAGTGACATCATGCGTATGAAATTTGATCACGAACTGAACTTTGTTTCTAAGTTACAGTCATGCGATGAGATTGATCCAGAAAACCTAAAACGCGAGGTACACATTATCTTGTATTTTTTTTTCTCGCGGAAATGCGAACCATCTGAACAGCTTGTAAAATGCGACAAGAATACTGCACTGTTGAATATACAGGGTGAGGTTGCAGTATGTTGTTGGTGAATAGCTTCGTTATTAGGGAAGATATCTAAAATAGTTTTGTTTGTATAAAAATTGGAAACGTCGCTAATACCAAAATAAAGGTTATGAAAATAAAAGCCAAACTGAAAATAATTTTTTTTCAAAAAAACGTACGTTAGACGATTCTAAACAGCCTGTACAAATTATAGCCAAAATTGAAAAAAAACATATGACGAGGAATTAGATGACATTTTAAAATTCTTCATTCTATCTGCATAACTATCTGACCAATACGGTGTCAGAATTGTACCCAATAACTACAGAAATAGAGATCCACGCCATGTGGTATGCTATATCAAACTTTTTTGAAAACGCGGAAGCCGTTATTTTTTCTTTTTTATTATAATTAATAATACATTTCGAATCGTCCGCCTCTAAAGCCGCACATACTTGAGCCCCTTGATGCGTTTTCTATCACGTTTTGGTTGGTTCCGGAATGAATACTTTGAATACTTTTCTGAGTATTGCTCATTATAGCTATTCCACAAAGCTTGGTTTGTTGGCATAAACGTTATTTTTTTGTGAATCCTTACAAAAAAGTAGACTTAAATCTGGTGATCTTGGTGACTAGATGGCAGAGCGTAATGGGGAGATTAAGACCTAAAGACTTTCAAAGAACATTCACATCTTGTTCAGCTGTGTGACAATTCTTATAGACTCCAGAATTCACGGTTTAAAAACTATTTTTTGAGGCCATTTCTAAAGAATAAGGATTATTCCTACAAACAAACATTGTAGAGCAGCTGAAGAGCAATGCTCAGGAAGCTGTCCAGAACATCCTTTCTGAAGCCTTTCAAAAGCTGATGGAAGATGTCGTCAAGAAGGCTATGGCTTGGGCTGTTTCCAGAACTGGGCATTTATACAATAATCATTTTCACACATATAGCTCGTAACTTTCAATGAAATATTAAAATAAAAATGAGTCTGTTTCATTTCATAAATAAAAAAATCCGTATGTCACCATGTATATTTACTATTGAGTCGGTGAGTAGTAAAACTGCGTAGCAGTAAGAGATTCAGACGCTATAAGCATAGTATGATCAAAGCCTGGATTGCCACCTAATAAATAAGTTCTAATACTTAGTTGCTCGGTAACATAGGCACATCTAATCAGCGTTAATCCAGTATCAACACCAACTCCATGCAACTCGCGCGAATTCCAAATCCTTTGAGTACCCGAACTGACCTTTAAAGTTGACGACTAGTTGCAGCAGACCAAACACGTACTATTTGGAAGTTTGTTCGAAGTTCCACTAACTTCTATAGGTGTGAAATATAACGCGGAATATGATCAGTTTACAAAAGGACAATATTCAACTTTGAGAAACCGTCGCTTCTAACTGGAAGTGATACCAAGTACAGTGAGACTTTATACAGGTTGATATATTATACAAAATGACACTAAATGCTAACAACATGTACAAAATATATTTGGCGTTAACGGTGGAACGAATATATGGAGCTTTGAAGGAACTTGAGTCAAGATGCAGAGGATTTTCAAGATGGAAGACTACTTGCTCAGCCTTGGTGTGGCTCACAATAAAAATATTTTATTCAGGTAAGGAATTCACTTTTAGAATTCAGGAAGAGAGTAGGAGATTAGTAGTCTGACATCGAAATGGCCATTCTTTAACAAATGCAAATTCTGTAGTTATACTACCTTGGGTATTCGAACTATGTCTAGGTGTAGATCGAAAGTTCTTTAACTGTAATGCATTGTTACTAAGCACCACGTTAGAATTCGGTCGAAATGCCTAGATTTGTAAAAAAAAACGATTGCTAAAGTCCACCATTACAGATTTTTCGCATCCAATCGTTGACTTCTATGGTATGTTTTTGAGTGCAATTAATGTTTGCTACAGTTTTTAGTGGCCTCCATGTTCTAGTTTGGACAATCTTGCACCAATATTCAGACGCGCTTGTCACCTGTTTTGAAGCCCTATGCTGTATAGCCTTAACAAATGATTGATATTTCGTGGTGTTTTGGATACGGAACATTGAAAAGCTAAAATATACTTTGTTGATTTAGGTACATTTGAATTCAAGTTCTCCCAATCTCCAATGATAAAGTACATTGTGCGTAAATTCAATATCTTGTTACATCAACAATATGCATAATGCTACTATAACGTCAATGTTTCAGAATTTTCTAAATTCCTCAAAGAATTTTAGTGAGAAAATTCCGAGGTTTATGGACAAAAATGCATGTTCAATTGAACGTACATATTTTGAATACCATTTACGATATTTACAACCAATACATTTTCGAACAATTCACGGTATATCTTTCATAAGTATAGATATAAAAAATTAAAAGTAGTTTTAAGTACAGTTTCATTACAGAAAATATTGCGAACAGTATCGAATTTAGGGACACACAGCTAAAGTGAAAAACAATTTTTTCGTATTTCAATGAACTTTTGGGTACATCTATTGGATTGGCAACTACGTGATTGATGGAATTCAGATAATGAAGAAAAATGAAATTTTGTGTTTGAAAACATAACTAGGTACTGTCCGTATTTGTCCTTTTGCTATCGTTCAGATAGTTACATGATTCCCCGTTCACTAAATGTCTGACCTTTGCTATCAAAGAACTGATATATGTGTGATTTGACATCATTTCATTAGCGTCATTGAAAAAATTACAATCTAAGGAGTTCTGTACGGAACGAAATAAATGGTTATTATATATGGATGGCGCAAGGTCGACGATAAAGATGTATGGGGTTTTGCATTATCATGGTGGAAAACAACACCATTGCAAATTCCGAATTCTGGACGCTTTGATTGAATTGTTGCAGTCAGTATGGCAAGTTCTTGAACGTAAATTGGTTGTTTGGTAAAAGTTTAATGTACAGAGTTCCTTTATAATCCCATCAGGCTGAAAACATAAAATCTTTTTGGTGAATCTCTGTTGTCTAAATCGATAACTTTGATATGGGTCTCATTGACTGATCAACTGGACGGCCAGATCGTTGAGCATTTTTGGCACTGCTTTTCTTTCAAGGTCCCATTCCTATATGCGGCAACTTGTTATGGTCTCGTTCTTCTATTTTCAAATTATCATAGAAACAAAACTAAAGAACTAATCGATATAGTTACTTTACTTAATAGAGGAATATAATCCTAACAGGTAGTTTGGATACGGAACAAAAGAAAATGTAAATTTCAACTGTCTACAAAGTCCACAATAACTTAGTTGCCAACACAATATTTTCACAGTCTCACTTTGATCCGTGTAGGGATGTGTCATATAGTTGATACCGACATAAGTATATGGGAATGAGCTATATACTTATAGTACGTTTTTAAGACTAGAAATACACACTCTTTGGATGTTAGTCTTTGAAAAATATACATTGAAGGATTTTGTGTTATAGAAGTTCATTCTGGTGATGCATAAGCCATGATAGAAATGGAATGGAGATAAAATCGTCGAAACATTTCATAAATACTCTGCTATCAAATATACTTTTTTGGAATTCGGAAACGTCAGTGCTTTAGGGAAAAGACACATTATTTATAGATAACAGCGGGATTCGGATCAAAACCGTGTACAGGTTTTCCCAAAGAATATGGAAAGTAGTGTATATCTCTAAATTACTTGGAAATACACAAGATGTTGCACAAATCCGTGGCACGACAAATATATGTTTTCTTGATGGAAGGCTGTGTTTTTTAGATATTCGGAAACACCTTTCCAGAACAACAAGATTCATATAATACACTAGATAGTAAAAACCTTATATCAAAAGAAAGCCGATGAAAAGGCGACTATGATGGTGTAAAAATATGTATACGGTGTTCCAGTTAGATACCATATTATCACTTTTCGCAGTTGATCTCAAAATTTGCGTACTTTTTTATTCTCTCTCCAAAGTTCACCGAAAAATTATGCAAAGTGGCGGATGAAAAAGCCTTTCAATATAGGCATTTTTTAAACAAACGGCCTTCAGAGCACTACAGTATATTATAAAAATACTCTTGCCTTGGAAAAGCATTTCCAAATACATAATAGAATATAGGATGATCCAATTAAGAAAGCATATGCTTGCTGTACCACAGATTTGAGCAACACCCTGTATATATCCAAATATACAATTTAAAGATATCAATCTTCCCGCGAAAACCGTTTTCGAATATCTTATACAGTTTCTCTGAAAAACGACTTTCCATATTCGTTGGGAGTCCCTGTACATAATATTCATCTTTGAAAACGAGAATTTAGAGTTACGTACAACATTTCTTTGAGAGAAATTGTTCGCAAGGCTATTCACATGTGAATGCTGTAGGAAGTTAACTAAGCACAATTTATAAATAAAAATTTACCTCTGGCTCAGTTTACGTGTCTATGGTTAGTATATTATATTCCAGAAGATACCATATAATAATTTAATTGACAGATAAGCATCTGTCATCACAGTCAACCAATTGATTATGTTATCTTCATTTACCGCTCATGATACTAGATTTTGTAATTTTGCAAAGAGAGCTTCCAAATATTTCTTAGGCAGATTTTCAGCAGATCGTGGTCCAAAAGGACAAATGTTTGCTGACTTGAGCAAATTTCGGTCTACCTGTAGAAAATCTATCGTGTATCAGAACTAAATCTGGTTTATCTCGACAGGTTATATTTCACTATATGAAATTTAAACAGAAGCACCTAGATAACACTGTACGATGAGCAAGTCAATTCAGAGGTTGTTGTTGTTGCATAACTGATCCAAATATCAAATCATCTATAATACTATTATATTCTATGTAAATCCATAAATTCTGGGAGACCTTGTATAGCAAATGACATTTTCAGAACATATATATAGAAAAAATGAGCAAAATATGCCACTTGTATATTACCTATTACATGTTAGCTCAAAAATCGGCTTTTTGCATCAAAAACTCAAAAAGATCACTGATCAGTTGCACCTACAATGTAAATGTTACCTAGGTATTCCATCTAAACAAAGCAGCATCTTCTTCAGTGTTTATAGAACGTTATACAACAAAATAAGAAACGGCAACATTGCTTTCTTCTGATGCTTGCTGGGTCGGGGGAACCCGCCATCCAACCAGCGATCGGCAGTTGCGTAGTTGCCATTCTAACCTTTTTTACTGCTTATACTTACACGAAGGGTATATCATTTCCCGATATTAACAGAGCGCATATAAAATGTCCATATATACGAAATTTCCACACTAACAGTACCTTTATACGAGGAGCGTACCAATAATCATCGTTCACAAAAGCACAATGGTTTCACGTAGGCGTTGTTGTGTTCGCATTATCAAATCCGTTCACCAAAGTTTCTATGATAAACTTTATGGTTATTTTGTATATGTTCTGCACGTTTTCTGTGTAGCGATCTCCAAGCGTGGTCTCGACTGCTTCCAGGAAGGGTTGCTCGATTTTCTGTAACAAATGTGAGATTTCAGTACCAAAATATCAAACATTATACTAGTACGTGTAATGCCGCTGTAGACGAGTGGAGATTGGTTATTCCTCGGTTGCCGTTAAGCATCAAAATATGTGAGATTTGACTAGTTTTCAATATATCATATCAGTACACAATGCAACCAAAACCTTACGGTTCGCTCTTGGACTATTTTTGGTTAAAAAAAAACAAAAAAAAACAAAGATATCAATGTGCGTAAAGTCCTTGGTTTGGTGATTCTCTCATAGATGTCTTGACATTACGCCAAGGATTGCCGCATTTCGCTCATAGGTGGCTCCGCGTTGTTGCCAAACTGACATAAAATGTTTAAAAATCACTACATTGATACTGAGCCGATTGGAGTTGAGTTTTTCCCTTGGTTTTTGGTGGTTACGTCACAAAGTCATCCGAAATATCTAAGCAAACATATCGTACAAGATCAGGCTGGCTAAATGACTGGCATACACCAACGATTTGTCAAATAAGCAATCTGATGTTAAAAAATAAATTTCAAGTTGACGTTACTAAACTAAATCGTGTAACATTCTGAGTAGGGCCGTAAAAGTCAAATAGTTATGTTATAACAGATGTTGAGAACAACTTCTGTTTACATGTCTCGGAGAGCACTCGCTGAGAGTTGTGATTTATAACTTTATTGAATGATACGTATTTCGTAGGCTGCAAACGGATGTTAAATATCCACACCATGATGAAACGTCAGAAAAATATACGAACAATGAATCCACCCAAAAGAGATTACCTGTCTGCCAACACCGCATCTAACTCCGGCCAAATAAGATCAGCACGTATTTAGATGCCATCAACTGTTTTTGAGACGCGGCGTTTTAGGTTACGTCTCCTATTTCTCTGTAATGCATCCTTCTCGACTAACTTTTTATAACCGCCCTTTGTTTTGAACATCATCCACACGCACCGACATACATATTGGTAAATTTTCAAAGTGAATACCTCCATATGTGTTAGCGTCAAACTGATACTGGATTTGGCTAGGAGACAATGCTTCGTTGAGATCACGGATAAGGAGGCGTTTACTTAAATTTCCTCATAAAAGATCTAGAAAAAATATAGGAATTTGTAGCACAAATTTTCCATTTCCACTTCCTCTTAGAATCGAATTAAGCTTTGCAGACCTAAACGATTTGGGGCGCTGAATAAGGATATGGCCGACTAAAAATCGTGAAGTGCCATGAGGACGAGTTTCAGGCGCAAAAAGTCATTTGGAAACGCCCTTGAGTGAGCCAAACCGACATCGAATTCAAAATATGTATATGTACCCGGATTGATAAGACAAAGTTTCTGTTTTCGATTCCTTACAGGCGAATAGAACATTTTCTTATTGCTAGACCTTCACAAACTGCATTGTCCGAATACGACAACATAAAGTGCCAGCTGTTGGAACTGTGAAGGATCTAACAGAACCGAGTCACCACTGTAACCGTTTGATGCCGTCGATTCTGGCGATATAGTAAATAAAGGTCTACTCGCCATTGTGAAACTAATAATACTGCTCTCGTCCATCCGATTAACAGAGGACCAGCCGCGTACAGCTGTTTCATGTTTATTGGTTATTATCAGCATAGTCTAAGCTTGGTCTCCGGGTAGGACAACGAACGAAAGTAAACCAAAGCATCCTCGATCCAAACTATACGGTTTATCGGAATGCGACAGCACAAAAGTGCCAACTATTAAATGATCGGTCAGATGAAAGCAGTGTTATTAGTTTTTCATCGATTCAACCATCGTCTACTATATCGCCATAATAGATGGCATCAAGCGGTTACAGTGGCGACTTAGATATCGATGCCAACCGACATCCTTTATAGTTCCAATATATAACTGCTACTCACTCTCGCGGTGGCCGATTCTCAAAATAGATATCACTTTGTGCTGTAGATAGACTTTATGCCTTAGCTAGGGTATGCCATACTTGGCTCTACTTTCGTTCGATGTCCTACTTGGAGACCAAACTTAGACCGTGCAGATAATTGCCAATAAGCATGAAACAGATGTAGACGGTCCGCTCTCTGTAATATTAAGCTACACCATACTCTGATAATTTCTTTAAACTAAAAAATCAATCTACGGGAAATTCAGTTCCCCGTGTTTCATACTAATGGACTTGTCACCATCTTAAAAGCTTTTCCCCACATCAACGGATAATTAACTTTAAAAGGAAATGCGAGATGCTTAAGCAACCGTCATTCAGCTGAAAACAACACGTAACGTTTGATGCAAATAATATTGCTTCAAAAGTGCATATCCGGTATTAATTGCGTTCCAAGATAAGCTACATTAGACAACGAATTTTAATATTGATCTCTGTAGATTCAGAACTTTCGAGCATGTCCGTTGCAGCATTTATATGGTGCAGATATTGCGGTATAATGAGTTTAAAGGTTTTTTGTAGTTGATATTAAGGTTTCTTCTTGAGCATAAAAAGGTCCTTTGACGGTGCAGCAGAATACAGTGGAACACAGTATCGTCACATCACTCCTGCGTGGATATTCTAATTTTCGCTAGAAACTGGCATAAAATTCAATGCTACAAGGTGATCAAAAAATCCCGGACCAACAAGATATTTGGGAGTTTGCAAGTGGTAGGAGAAAAATAAAATAGCAGTTGTTCAGGATTTCCCGCTGGCTATTCAGTGATGAGCTTAATTTGACGTTTCCCATGACCTGCAAGTCAACTCAAGGTCAAGGCGATTGTTTTTATACGGAGTCCTTGTGCCTTTGACAATTCTTACATAGAGCGGGATATTATACGTTGAGATATGATCTTGGGTAAAAATTATTTTGACTTTGAACGTAAAAAACTCCCATTTGGAAAGATTCGAGAGGTCTTTCCAAAGGTGAAACAATAAGAATTCCGAAGTCGGTAGAGGCTTCAACTCTTAACTGGTGACCTTGAAGCTGACCTTTTCCATGACCTTGTGAGGTCAAATCACGGTAACAACTTGATCTGACTTTGGGTGATGGTCGTTGTAAGTTACAAAGTCACCAGATAAACATTCTAGATCCTACTGGATTTGCTTCTCATTTATGACTTATCTTCAGAAACACTTCAGAATATTATAAAATGATTTTTTTATAATGTCCTTGATCAGGATATTAAAGATCAAAATAATTTAGTCTGAACGTTGAGTTTTTCGCTTTATCCATCCGGGACCAGAAGTATAGAGTATACGGAAAACGTCTTGACATTGATTTGCCCTTAAGGTCAGTTTCAAGGTCATTAGTGAAAAGCCAGAGGACAGTCTAGGCTTCTGGTGCCTTTGCTTACTCATATTTGCTCTATCTTAAGAAATCTCTGGAACGATGGTTTCTCACGAAGACCTTGGACCAGGAAACTCATACATATTTCTCTCAAGGCTATGTATGAACCTATAATTTTTGCATACTATCCTTTTCCGGAGTCAAAAGTATAGGGTTTCATCTAAGAAAATCGTTTTGACATTGATTTAGCCTTCAAGGTCATGGTCAAGGTCAACTTCAGAGAATACTGAAAATGGAAAAGTACTAAACCGCTACTATTTTACTTTTACCACGCCTTAGAAAATTTGCAAAGATCTTGTTGTTCCGGGACTTTTGGGTCACCTTCTACGAAAACCAAACGTGCACTCTAGTTGAAATCCAGTCCTCATATACCCTAATCACTGTTTATCCACGTCATTTTCACGGAACCAATCGTTTTCCCCTCCACAACATTATTAACGTCGAACAAGTTAGGTGGAACTTTTGAAGTAAAAATCGTGTCAGCTGCTTCGAACACGACGTCGGCGTCGCTAAGAGCCCACGCTAAAGCTAACGCTATATTCCAATGTCAGACACTTCCCACCGCTCTGCTAAAACGAAAACGAATTTCTGGTGAACTTCGAGTACAAATTATCAACGTCAAGTCTGGGTAGGGAGCCAGGCCCGGAGCCTGATTAGTAATCGGTGTTTATATGGGTTTTATCTGGAGTCCGATCATAGTTTTGGCTGAAGGTTTTAAAATATCAGTACTCACGAGGACTTTTCGGAAATCCCGTGAACTAAAAGGATAGTTCAGGAACAGTTAAAGCACCTTTCAAAAGAAGTAAGACAGTATAGAGCGCTATCTGTTACCAAAATCGACTACTGCGTTGCCAAAAAGCACAATGTAGCTGCCTATGGTTGATTGTCAGCAGTCGGATGGAGGAAAGTAGAATGATCAATGACATAGCCCAGTCAGCCCCTAACGGTCACAGTGCTGACTGGGCTATCAAAAGTGAACTGAGATCTGTAAGTGCCAACCGATAACTGGTATACACTCTCGCAGTTGTCGATTCTGGTAATAGATGGAGCTTTATGCTGTTCTATTTTATTAGACCTCATACCCTGCATAGAGGATGGTTGCTATGATTTCGTTCGATGTACCAGAAACCACGCTTAGACCACTAGCATGGTTGCCAAAAACCACGAAACAGCTTTCCGTGGTTGTCTGTCTGTGGTCGGATGGACGGAAGCATCATGTCTATCTTTCCAAAGTTTTAATCGGCACTGAAGTAAATATGAGTAGTAGTTCTTAGTTCATATCTCTTTGAAGGCAACAATTACGTATCTAGAATTGACTGTTACTAGGGTGCATATTGTCAAATACTGAATGCTCTTGTGCAAGCCTACCATGACAGGATTGTCAATATACTATGTGATCCTAATATGCTGCCACCTAAGTACGGTGATTGACACGTACATTTTCCGTCTAAAAAACCGAAAACTATAATCCTAAAGCTGCAAAATGTCATTTTTGAAGTCTAGGTGGGATCATTTTTCACGTTTGGATGGATGTTAAGTTGAAAATAATTGAAATATATGGCCTAGCTATCTATCATGTCCACTTGTATGAACAAAAGTGATATTTCAAAGCCAAAGTGCTGCCACGAGAAGACTTATAGAAGTAATGGGGGACAGCATGTCGTAGTAGTGAGGTAATCCTC